CTATCTATCTATCTATCTATCTATCTATCTATCTATCTATCTATCTATCTATCTATCTATCATCTATCTATCTATCTATCTATCTATCATCAAAGAGGATTTTCAGTGAAATTTGAGTAGAACAAAACAGAAGCAAAGCACATTGTTCTCTCACCTCCAAGCTTCTAAGCAACCTTCCCTTGCTGCTTCATAATATAGGAAAATAAAGTATTTACTTTGAACATCATTAAATGTGGCAAGTTTACACAGCATAATTCCACCTTTCTCTCAGACAGCAGTAAACAACTTAAGGTTCTTTAGACAGTTAGGAAAACAGTTCCCAAACTCTGGTCATTGATTACAATACTGGTTCTCATAATATTGAAACATTTGACACATACCCAGCAATTTACATCTTGTTTACAGCTAGGCAGTCATATTGTGTTAGAAACATACTTCTTTGTTTCCAGGTGCATTAAAATGTTACCTACGAGAATTGCCACAGCCGTTGATGACCTCTGAACTCTATGATGATTGGCTGAAAGCTGCCAGGTGAGTTAGAAATAGAAAGACAGGCTTAAGCACGCTATAGTTCTTTCTGTCTTTGGCTGAGTTTTATTTCTCTGATGAACTAATACTTACTCCCTTGTTTATATTTATATTTATATTGACTAGAACACTGGGCCGTATCTAACAAAATGAAATTCAATGTAGAGAAAAGTAAAGTCCTACACTTAGGCAAGAAAAACCAAAAGTATAGACTGGGTGAAACCAGGGTCAATAGCAGTAACTGTGAGAGGGATCTTGGAGTCTTAATGGACAGCTAAATATGAGCCAGCAGTGTGCAGCAGCAGCCAAAAAAGCTAATGCAATCCTAAGTTGCGTTAACAAAGAGATACAATTGAGATCAAGTGAGGTACTAATACCACTCTATAAAGCCTTAGTAAGAACTGCATCCAGTTTTGGTCATCACATTATAAAAAAGATGTTGACACTCTAGAAAAAGTACAGAGAAGAGCAACCAGGATGATTAAAGGACTGGAGACTAAAACATATGAAGAATGGTTACAGGAACTGGGCATGGATAGTCTAGGGAAGAGAAGGACCAGGGGAGAAATGATAGCAGTCTTCCAATATTTGAGAGGCTGCCACAGAGAGGGAGGGATTAAGCTATTTTCTAAAGTGCCTGTAGGCCAGACAAGGAATAATGGATGGAAACTGAACAAGGAGAGATTTAACCTGGAAACAAGGAGAAACTTTCTGACAGTGAGAACAATCAACCAATGGAACACCTTGCCCTCGGAAGTTATGGGAGTGCCATTGCTTGAGACTTTCAAGAAGAGATTGGACTGCCATTTGTCAGAAATGGTGTAGGGTCTCTTGCTTAGGTTGGACTAGATGACCTACAAGGTCTCTTCCAACTCTGATTATCTGTTATATTTGAAAAATAGTTATAAAACCTATTTTCTTCCCAGATATACAGTGGATATAAAAAGTCTACACACACCTGTTTAAAATGCTAGGTTTTTGAGATGTAAAAAAATCAGACCAAGATAAATCACTTCAAAAAAAATTGCATCCTGATTTATATTGATCTGATTTTTTTTTTACATCTCAAACACCTAGCATTTTAACAGGTGTTTAGAGTTCTTATATCCACTGTATATGCTGGCACAGGTCAGGCTGCATGGTCATTAAGAAAGTGCAGATATTCTTATCACAAGTTAATAAAGACATTAAAAAATTAAAAGGAAATTCTATATTTCAGCAGAGATCTTTAAAAAAAAAATCTCAGAAATATATCCAATTATTGTTCCTAACTCAGATTATTCTTAGAATACTAATTCAGCCTAGTTCTAGTCCTATTCAATTTCCCATAGGCAGATAGAACTATAACAACCCAACAACAAGCAAGAAAGATCTCCTACTCTTTGTGTGTAATTGTTAATCTCCAGATTCATAGTACTTTCTTAGAAATTTACGAAAAAATCTTCCTCTCCTAACACATGATGGTACAGAAGAAAAATGTCTAATACATTCTGATCCATAAAATATAGAGACAACCAGTGGTTGAAATTTAGAATAAACTGTAGAAACCTTACAATGAATCTCAGCTTAAGCAATTAACTCTGATAATCAAATCAGATTCCTTTGCATTGAACTTGACTTCTGATAATTTCATGAACATGCCTGTATAATTTCTTGGCAACAACATGAAATTGTTGCCACTGCCTTATTTCCATTAAAACAAGCAGTCTAGAAATTAACCTTAGTTAATTAGTTAACCCAGATGACACCCTCTTGCAAATATTAACCAGACTCACCCAACTTGTTTGGCTTCTACCGTCAGTGAAGCTCGGCCAAGTGCTACCACCAACTGAGAACTAAAGACAGCTGTGGTGGCACAGTGGTTAGAATACAGTATTGCAGGCTAATTCTGCCAATTGCCAGCAGTTCGATTCTGCCTGGTTGACTCACTCTTTCACCCTTCCAAGGTCGATAAAGACCCAGATTGTTGAGGGCAATATGGTGATTCTGTAAACCACTTAGAGAGGTGTAAGCCACTATGAAGTGGTATTTAAGTCTAAGTACTATTGCTATTGCTAAAGAGGATTGCTCCATCCATAACTGAGAAGCCTTAGAGGATGTAAATGAGAAGAAATACTGCAAGAATCTGATTGCATTGTCCTTGACTATTAGGCAATATGAAATAATATGAGAAATTCTCACAATCGCTATTATCCTTTTTATTTTCATGTTGTTCTGGCTTTCCTTTTCTGCCTCAAAAAAAAAGAAATAACACACTTTCCACCCTTCACTCTTCCTTTTCAGTGCCAAAGAGCCAGAAATTCAACTAGAGTGCCTCAAGGATGTTTGTAATCTTCTTCCCAAGGACAACTACAACAATCTGAGGTGTGACATAGCTATAAATTTTTAGAATGTTCAAGAATCAGTCCTTGAATGTTTGCATTTTTATGTGTTCACTGCCTTAATTCAGAAAGTTGGCTTACTTAAATGAAGATGTAAAGCTTTTCTCCTCCTTGCCTTTCTGTGATAGGTCAAAATTCAATGGAAAAACATGGGAATCCTAAGAAAATCAAGGCACAGAGTTTTGCTTTTACAAATCACTCTCTCTTTGTAGGTATCTGATTCGTTTTTTAGCCAAGCTGGCTGAACAACAGGAAGTGAATAAAATGTCCCCAAGCAACATTGCTATAGTCCTAGGACCCAACCTACTGTGGCCCCAGGAGAATGAAAGGTAAAGTATAGATGTGCCAGAAGACAATATATTGTGGGTTTCATATAGCATAATACTTATTCAGTAATGAAGTATTGAGAAATACCTCTCTTATTTCACACACTCTCTCAATCTGTGTAATATGCTGTACCAAAATGATATATGTTACTTTCTTCCAATCTTGGTACTGCCCATCTGGTGTATTAAACAATAATGCTCATTATTCCCCAGCCAATAGCATTATTGTTGGGAATTGTAAGACAGATCAACTGGGGACCCACAGGGTAGATAAAGAAAATCATCCAGATCAAATTCATTTAAAACTGGAAAATATTTGGAAAGTGCATCCTTTTTCATCACTGCAACAATGTAATTAATTTTTCTGGTTTCAATGCAATTTAATTTTTCTGGTTTCAACATTCCTCATTCAAAGACCTTATTGAGAACTTTTTCTTTATTTGTAATGGAGAGAGGAAGGTCTTCATTTCTTTTTCAGCCATGCCAAACCAATCAAGTAAGTGGCTGGTAGTTTAAATAGATACATAAACAGATCTCCTTTCCAACTTTTTTGCACCGGTTCAGCTTTCCAAGAATTAGACATAAAGTTTTTAAAAAGCTTCAAAAATAACTTCATGAATAATTAGTTAAGCTATTAAATTATTCCTTGCCTAAAGTAATGATACTATCACTATATTCCTTATAGAATATGTCTGTGTATGTAACTATGGGTAATTTCTATCTTAATCAGGGGCAGTAATTGCCCTTAGTTGGCAGTCTTATGTAGCTAGTGAATACTGCTGGCTTTCTTCCAATCAGCTTCTACCTCTGTATGGAATATGTGTGACTCTATGTCACATCCTTCTCCATCTTTGCTGATCTTCTTATTTGAACTCTTTGGCAATCTTCCTCAGTCTGTCTTGGAATCTGCACTTCTTCATCAATCAAAACTACGTAAATCCCTTTTAGTTTTTCAACTATCAGCTTCTTCTGGATCTCTCTAATCACAGTTCCAAAGCAGCTCTCTTTTACTGTCATGCTTTCAACTATCTTCAATATTTTTTGTCAATTCCAGCTCTCCTAATGTGAGAAAGTGTGTATGTGCTTGTGTATTGAAAGTTTATTTATTTTACTTTATATTTTTATATAGCATTTCTAAAATCTCTCAAGAAATGACAGAAATTGAATGGGTATTCACTGCCAAAATGAAGTGGGGGAATATAATTGCTTCCCCTTTTAAATCTGTTCTTAATATGTTTCAAATTAGGTTTTAGTCAGTTTTCCAGAAAACACATATGAACAGCAGTGCTTTCAACCTAATATTCTGTTCTTGAAGTAACCAGCCCAAAACAGATGGGAATCCTTGTTGAAAGACAAGGCTGCATGCTTTCCTACACATTTTAAAGAGAAACCAATATTGAGATATATTTTTTTCTTTTCAGGGAATTAATATGTATCAATATATCTTTTCACAATAATAGCCTTATCTTACCACCTCCTGTTTAGTACCACATAAATATAAAAACCCAGATGGAGAGGATAGTGTTGTTAAATTATTTATGTGCACTTGTTGTAATCAGGTTAAATCTTATTAGATGTTCAGAGATCAAGCAGCAGAAGAGCCTAATATTTATACGCTGACATATAAGTGAAGCTTACCTGTAAAGGTGAGCAAGGGAGATTAGGACAAATGAATTACAATATATAAGATGTTTCTTCAGAATCTGCTCAGTGTTGTTCTTGGCTTTTTCTCCCAGGTCCCAAGTGCAGCTAGACATAGCTTCTGTATCCTCCATCCAAGTTGTGGGAGTTGTGGAGCCTCTCATACAAAATGCTGAGATCCTCTTTCCAGGAGGTAACTAGAATTCTTTTTTCTCAGAGCAAATTGGGCTCTTTCACAAAGCTTGTAAGCAGACACGTGCAGTAGGTACCCAGTTGAAAAGGACAAGCGTAGAGAGACTGGAAAATGGAATTAATAAACGATTCTGTGGATTCATTAGTCACTATGAAAAAGAAATATCTATGTGGCTTATGGGGTAACTATGCACTGCAATAATATCATTCATGTGCTATATTTCTTTGTTGTGCAAGTTTCAATAGCAAGATTTTTATAATCCTGTGTGTGTGTGTGTGTATGTAGGGGTTCTTAATTTGTGCTTCTTTGGAGCAAAAAAAATATATAATTTATATTAATGATTTTTAGTATTTAAAAGTAAGGTACTGTATAAAGGTGGCTAGAGAAATGGTTTTAAAATACTTAATACTTTTAAAGTTGTAGAGATAAAAATGGAGTATATGTGAACCATTCTTGGGGAGAACTCAAATAAGTGGAAGATGTAGAAGCTGCATGTGGATGATTTAATCAAGTATGATTTATATGCAGTTACCAACACTTCTGAAAGGAATGTCCAAGGCACTTCATTAAATGATGCATTGAATGCCATCATGGTATTCCAGCCAAATGTATTGCCTTTCTCTAGGCTAAACCAAGATCCTAGAAGGGAGGTGCTTTCTTAATCAAAAAGTAGATAAATGAACACCTGTCTTTTAGCAATTTAAACACCTAGGTTGTGGCATTAGCTTTTAAGGGCCTTAGATAAAAGAATCACAGGCTTCTGACTTTTAGCCAGGCTGTCTCTTCTTGATCTTGCATGAATTGACTATTCTCTATTACAACACTGATACATCTTAGGAAACAAAGAGGTGGAAGGAATCGAAGACTAACCTCCTTTCTTCTGCTGCTAGAGAGAACCGCAGAATATTATAATAGCTTTCAGACACTCAGACTGTCTCATGCATTTATTTGTCTTTTTTCCTTAAGATATTGACTTCAATGTCTCCAGTCTGTTCACTCCTCCAATAGACATCAAAAATCAAAACATCCCCACAACAGAAGCTACAGCAGTGTTTCTGCCTTCTGAATCTAATTTCCCTATGCCTGAAGAAAGGTATACATAGATAAATATAACCTTCAACTGTGCTCTTTATCTGTGTGCCCGCCCCCAGTGCAATTGTACTTTTAAAAAGTTTCCACTCAGCCTTCCAACTAGAGTGGTAGGATTCAAAATAATTTTACTACCAGTTCTGTGGGCGTGCTTGGCGGACGTGGCTGGGGAAGAATACTATAATATCTCCAGTCAGAGGTGGTATTTGCCGGTTCTCTGAACTTCTCAAAATTTCCCCTATCGGTTCTCCAGAACTGGTCAGAACCTGCTGATGGTATCCATTTGAAGACATCTTCTGTTGGGTTGTCTGGTCCAAGTCTGATTTCAGAGTAAAGGACTAGGTGTTGATAAAACCTACCAGTCTTCCTCTGTACCATATCAAAACAGTTATGCTGAAATGATATTGGATCATGATTGGAAAAATCACAAATTGCTTCTAGTTTGGAAGATTAATTTCTGGAAAATGGCTGGTCCAGGATGACTAGAACACTTGGGGTCCAAAGGAGGAAAGGAAGGTTTTACACATTCCAAAAAGAATGCCGAGAATGAAAAGGCCATGAAAGTATTCATCTGAGTTAGCATCTGGATAGCAGCATAAATATACATACAGAGCTTGTGGTCACAGTTACTCTAATATGGATTGAATGCATTGGGTTCCCCTCACCCCACCCCCGTTATACCTGTTCCTCAAAAAACTGTAGTGATACATTTCAATTACAAAATGTGGATCTTTTGTTCTCCACTTTTTATTCTGATACAATTTTTCTTTTTAGTGATGCAATGTGCCCATTTATCTATCACCACAGGATACTGTTGTGTTTATTAAGCCTATCTTAATAAAACATTTGTAAAAATAATAAAAGAGGAATCAAATAAATAACCACTATACCTACAATAACATGCTATATAAAAGCAAATAAATTGTGTTACAGCTTAACATACTGATTACAGCTTAACATACTGATCCTACCATATGAAGACAATGGCTGGGCTTCTAATAAAGACTACCTAACCAATCATAAGTTACTCTACCTTACTTTAGCCAGTTCTGGTGTGTGCTGCTTGTGCAGCCATACTGTTGATGCTTAGGGGTGTGTGTGTGTTGAGGTATTCTCCGTTAGGAGAATGAGTGCACTCAGGGAAACGTAGTGAGAGTGATGATGAATAACACACAACCAGTATACAAATACACTGAATAGTCAAATGTAGGTTTTACTTCCAGTAAATGGGTAAACAAAGCCCAACAAACAGTCCAAATCATAAACGGTTAAAGCAGTTAGTATTCAGAACAATCAGTCCAGGGATAATCCAAAAACGAAGTCAAATATCATAAACAGAGTTCAGTAAACAGAGTTTGCTAACAGTTGCAAGACTCACAGCAATCCAAGCAGAACGAGGGTCAGGCAAAACAGCAAAACAGGAAATGCAAGAAAAAAACAAACCAGGTTTCTGGCTCCATCTTATGGCCCTTGGAGGAACCTCAGCCAATCACAATTACAGCATTCTCTTAAAGATGCAACAGTCTTAAATAACTATCCCGGTTTATATATTTCCAACCCAACTGTTAGGTGACTATCATTCATAACAGGGGGGACTCCAGAGAAGAAGGCTTTCCACAACCATCATTATGAGATAGGATATGATTTAATGCATTGTAACCTGACCTTGTAGTACCAATAGTCAGTAGCACATAAAAAGCAGGACTAAAAGTCTCTCACTCAAACTTACATTTAAAAATAATCCCAAAGAAAAGCAGATTAGCAAAAGAGAAAAGGAGAAAACACAATTTGGGAATCAGTTTTTTTTTCCTTTGGGATGCACAAAGCAATGTCAGCTGTTCTCCACTAGTCAGTGAACGGAGTAAAAACGTTAATCTTCCTGAATTACAGGTCAGTCACTATTTTAGTGGTTTGTGGTTGAAATCAAAGGATTAAAAATGGAAAGATCTCTGGAATTTCTCTGTATACTAATTGCTTTTGGAAGCCTATAAATGAGAGTTTATCTGACTTTTCCACATTGGCAGGAACAATGAAGTTATTCCAGAAATAGTGCCCTCAAAAGTGACCCAGTCATCTACTGAAACAACAATCTGTCCACCTACCTCTGCTTCTGCTGATGAGACATCACGAAAAAGTAAGTTTCATAGTACTACCATAGAAATATTTTTACCTCTCTTATTGACACCAGCTGCCAATGTCCCCACATCACTCAAGAACTCTTCAAAAGGGATCGTAGCAAGATACTTGCATTAAGTACAAGACAGTGGTACTATTTTGTATTCCGAAAACATAGCTTGTAGCTTGGAAGATTCAAAAGGTCTTAGTTGTGCAATTGTGTTCCTCTAAATTTTACAGAGACCGGATGATAACAACTTACATTGATACTTTTCCTACTTCTTACATTTTTTTTAACAAAAGAATAAACAGCTAAATAAGGAGTAAAGGAATAATGGTATTTCGATTGACAGAATTGGAACCTATCGGGAAATATGCAATGTCATACTACCTGTTGCCTGTTTTCTTCTGTTTACCTCCGTACCATTCTGCTACTCATAGCTGCCTTTTTACTGTCCTGTTCAGAAAATCCATGACATAGCCAAAGTTGACAAACTAGTGCATAACTCTGTATGTACTTTGAAATGACAAGACTAGATAAAATAGAGGGGGGCATATGTAGAAAATTCATACTGCAGTTTGATAATGTTGGGTATAATCTAAAATATAGATTTCAGTTTTCAGTTTACTCTGTAATTCTGGTATTGTTAGGAACCATCTTAGGCAGTTAACCACATATAAATAACACATATAAAAACCCAGTACTTTTAGAAATAATTTTATTTCAGTTTTGAAAAACAGATACAAAGAAAATACATAGAAATAAAATAAGTAAAAGAGACTTTTATATCAAATGTGACAGTGTTTTTTTCGGGATTCATGTAGAGCTGAGACACAGGAGTTAGAAAAAAAAATGCCTAAAATACTGGATTTTATTTCTCTTTCTTTCATTCTCCTTTACAGCAAAGCGGGTGGCTCCACCCAGACCTACCATACCACCACCCCATCCTCAAACCACGCCACCTGCTCCCCGTCACATGCCGCCTCCTCCTCCTCCTCCTTCAGAGTCTTCCTCCATCCCTAAAGCCTTGCCTCGAAGAACAGTGGGGGGACCAGCACGGGTGCCAGTGGTGCCACCACCCCTTCCCCCACAGCCCGCCAGACGGCAGAGTCACAAAGCTCCGCCATCACCCAGGCATCCTTCAGAAGCTATGAACAATAAAGCAGCCGCAGCTGAAGAGGATTCTGCTCATGTCTGCAGTAGAGAAACACCCAAAGATTCCGTCCATACCCAGAAAGAAGCCACTGAAGGAAAGAACAGCTCTCCATCTACTGCTGCTCAGAAAGTATAAACTCTGGAGAATATCTGAAGGGAAGAGTTTTACTGGCTTTGCTTTTGCCTATCCAACTTGTTGCAATTCTTTTCTGCCTGGTATTTTGTTAGGTGTTCCCCAAATGCATCAAGGTGCAAGGGCCATCTCCCTTGGGACCCTTATATATGGTCATCTATTTAAATCAAACAACTCCCCTCCACAAAATAAATAGAAAATCCCCTCTTCCTGTTTACAAACATCATCATTTAATATAGGTTGTCCTTCATGCAATATTTCAATCCAAGCCCTGTACAGAAGCAGCAATCTGATACAGCATACTTCACGTTCCTACTATTCTTTTGTCAATCTATAAAACACAATGTATCTTTTCATTAACGGTGTTCTACTTTTTTATTATTTTTGACAAGACATTTGTGGAAGCTTCTGAATAAATGTTAAAAGAAGATAACTACTGGTTATCTTTTCTTTATTGCAGTTATATCATACATCTTGCATTAACCCTATCTATGAGAATTATACTTACCCTTTTAGTGGTTAGTTATTTCACTGGGGTAACATTTTATCTATAACTCAACTTTAACAATATATTTAGTTCATCTAAGATGATCCAAACTGTTCATATAGGCAAAAGGCAAATCAAAGAAACTGTGTATCAGTTTTGCTTGTACCAAACATAAATACAGCTCTCATTTTATTGAGATAAAAGCCGTTTTGTAACATTATAAAGTCTAATAAATACATTGTCAGTGAATACTCCTTTTATCAATTTTCACTTTTAGGTACTGTTTCAGGAAAAACAAATGAGAGGAATAGGCAAATAAAATTGCAATTGAAAGACACTTTTCTGCATAAAATCAAAATTGTAGGCAATATATATAACTTTTCATAAATAAACAAATACACTGTAATATACAAGAAAGAGCATAATAAAAATTCTGGGTCCTACATGAACACATAGACACACACACAAAAAAAATTGAACAAATGTAGCAAGGCAGGGGTGTCAAAGTCGCATCACCACGTGACATATCACAAATTCTTTTCCCTTCGCTAAACCAGGCGTGGGCGTGACGAGCGCATGATGCATCCAGCCCGTGGGCCGTAAGTTTGACAGCCCTGCAGCAAGGCATTCATGCTGACACAATTCAAAAGTGGCCCTTCAGAAGCAGGTGAAGAGTTCAAATCCCTAGCCTTTCCTGGAGAGCAAGATTTTTTTCTGCCTGTTTTAAATGGCTAGAATGTGCTTTATTTCCAAACCTTGCACCTGTGCCAGGCACAAAAGACTAGGTCCACACATGAAGGTCCAATTCAACAGATTTATTTCTATGCACAGAAATCTTCTCAACTAATGGTGAGCACCTGCTTGGAGTTAAACAAGGGTCCATGGAATTCAAGGAAAGTTGGATTTAGTCCATTTGTGACTAAGCTGAGAGTCTAGGTTGATTCTTCTTTTAACTCCACACCAGGTTCTGCCACTCCTTTTCCTATATACTGTCACCTTGTTTTTATTCTTTTCACAGAGGAGAGAGTAGGAAAACAAGAAGTGATAGGAGTACCTCAGGCAATTCTCTTAATTTCTATAGCAACTATCTGGCAGCACCTATCCTCAAGCAGCTTCTTGAAGAGTTTATCAACAGGAGTTTTTCTAAAGGTAGCAACAGTAGTTTCCAGGGGGGAAATAAAATCAGTATTTTGGATGACTTGAACAGGTGTACTATTTTAATATAGAGCTGTGGTGGCGCAGCAGTTAAAACATAGTGCTGCAGGATAATTTTGTTATGGTATTCAGCTTTGTTCGGGTATTTTCCCACGTCATTATAGTTGTGCTTTTAAAGTTGTAGTGACGTTTCGGCAGAATCTCATCTGCCATCCTCAGGCTTGTGTACTGGGCTCTTTATAATCTTGTGTGTCAGGCTTAGCAGCCATTTAGCTAAGCCTGACAAACAAGATTAAAAAGAACCCAATACAGAAGCCTGAGGATGGCAGATGAGATTCTGCCGAAACGTCGCTATAATAAAAGCACAAATATTAAGACGTGGGAAAATACCCGAAGAAACCTAAATATCATACACATACATATATACTGTATGTATGTATGTGTGTGTGTGTATGTATGTATGTATGTAATATATATATATATTACATACATACACACACGTATATATGAGATGAGCATTATTTAAATCAGATGATGCTGATGATAAATGATGGAAGAGGTGGAGATGGAGAGAGATATAGAAATAGATATGATAGAGATAGAGGAAGAGAGATGATATAGGTAGTCAAGTAGATAAATCTAGGACAGGGGTCTCCAAACTTAGCAACTTTAAGACTTTACTGGGAATTGAAGTCCACAAGTCTTAGAGTTGCCAAGTTTGGAGACCTCTAGGATATAATCCCTCTGTTACCCCGCGGTCTTTTCCCACGGTCCGTCACCTGAGTTTTTTTCAAACGTTCCTTTGTAAGATGAGCCCGTCGAGCTTTGATCCTCCGATCCAAACAGGTCTACAACACGTGCCACTTTATTTTGACCCGCCTCTTCCTTCTTTTCTTCCACCAATAGGCTAAAGCTACAGGGGCGGAGGGAACATTGCTTTGCCCTTCCCGCTGCTCATTTAGAAAGGAAGACGAGCGCCCCCTTGCGGGTCTTGCTCAGAAAATGCATTTTCTTTCTTTCTCTCGCCCCCCCGCCCCCCTTTTGTGATCCGCTTCTCACGCAGCCCGCCCGGCTTCCATCACTTCGGGCGACCCCTCCTGCCGGAGGGGGTTAACTGCCTTCATCGCATCAGCTCCCGCCATTGGACGACGACACCCCCGCCCACCCCAGCTTTCCCTCCGTTTCAGTTCTAACCGGGTCGAGCCCCCGGCTCTTCGGGCATCTGATTGGTACCGTTTCCTAAATCCATCAAGGGAACGGCGCGCTTCTGATTGGTTGCGGTCACCGCGAGGAGGACCGGGTGGAGGGGCGGCGAGAGCGGTTCCAGCATGGCGGGCTGCAGGCGGTTGAGCGGCGCTTGTCTGCGCGAGGTGCTGGGCGAGGCGCAGGGGCTGCTCTTCGACTGCGACGGGGTCCTGTGGACCGGAGAGCGGGCGGTTCCTGGGGCGCCGGAGCTGCTGGAGCGCCTGAACCAGAACGGGAAGAGCACCCTGTTCGTGTCCAACAACAGCCGCCGCTCCGTGGCCGAGCTGGAGCGTCGCTTCTCCCGCCTGGGCTTCCGCGGCGTCCGCGGCGAGCAGGTGTTCAGCTCCGCTCTCTGCTCCGCTCTCTACCTCCGCCAGCGGCTTCTGGGCGGGGAAGCCGGAGCTGGCGACTCGACCCCGGGCCGGGTCTTCGTGCTGGGCGGGGAAGGGCTGCGCGGGGAGCTGCGCGACGCGGGGCTCCGCCTGACCGGAGAAGAAGGGGACGGCGACGAAGAGCCTCCGGGCCAGGAGGCCCTCCCGGTGCGCGCTGTCGTCGTCGGCTACGACGACCAGTTCACCTTCGCTAAGCTCTCGGAGGCCTGCGCCTATTTGCGCGACCCGCGGTGCCTGCTGGTAGCCACCGACCCAGACCCCTGGCACCCGCTTAGCAGTGGGCAGCGCACCCCGGGTGAGTGAGGGCGGCGGGCCGGAGGGGGCCAGGCTCTGGAGCCCCCTTGCCAGCCCCGGGTGGGCGTCGAGGCCCAGTTGCGTCACCCTGCCCTGGGCCTGGTAGCTCGGTACACATCCTGCATTTCCACAATACCTAAGAGAAAGGGGTAGAGAGAAAAAGAGGACAACCATCCAAAGCCTTCATATGATCTGGGTAGGCTTAAGGCTGAGGAATGGATTTTCACTTGTTATACACTCTACTCTGGTCTTCAATATCTTGCTTTCTGTACAGTTTAATAAATGTCCCATAATGAGATTTAAACTGACTAATATTTCATTCAGATAACAGCATACAGTATAGAAGTACACACCATAATTTATTTGAAGAATCCTGACCTGCTGAGCAAAGCTTTGACCAGATAAAGGTAGTGTGAAATCAAGGAATGTTCTCAAAGTCAAGTGTGCCTTTTCCTAAAATGCTGAAGAATTTAGCCTTTATGTCACTTTTATTTTATATTTTACTAGCAATCATTGTTGGAAGAACCCTTGGTGTATTAACACTGCCAGTGATCAAATAACCTTGTGGAAGTTCTCTTGTGTTGCTATGATATGAGCCTGGCACAGTTTCTGTATTCAGGGTTGTTGTTATTTTGATAGCCCCTTTTGCATGGTTGTTAATTAGCAATTCCAATAAGATGACTTTTAGTAAGGTGATTTGCAAGTAGAAAGTAAATGTCTATTAGTCAGCTGCTGCACAGCTCTTCAAATAAGATGAGTCAATATTTGTTTCCCTGCCTGGACCATTGCAAGCAACTCCTTTTAGAGCTTTAGGAATTTTAAGTTGTTTTTTTGTGGAACTTAGAAATATCCCTGCACTGAATGAGACATTCTCCATGATTGGTAAGAGAAGTGGGCGGGGGGGGGGGGGGGGGGGGGGGGGGGGGGGGGATCTTAATCTCTATTGATATATATCTATGAATCTTCAAACATCCTAGTCTTGCCCTCATAAAAAGGTTATTTGTTCCCCACTTTTTTTTTGAAAACTTTGCTCCAAAGTTCACTGATTGATCTTAGGTATACATTACTATTAGCAATGCTACTTGTATCCTGTATAGCTATATATTATATGATAACATATACTTATATTATACAGAGTAATAAATTGTATCCATATCTAATTCTAGTCTTGAAATGTTACATACTCAAGCATATCTGCTTCTGAACAAATGGGAAGTTGATTCTTTAAGTTGGGATAACTGAGCTGATAGATTTTCTTGGATTATAATGTTATTTACAGTAAAATCTTTAGAAACATGTGAATCTGTTTCATATAAATAGTAAAATTAGATGCAAACCTTCCATTTAAGTGAAAGTTTACTTTGTCTCGCTAGTTTGAACCCAAAATGACCCATTTCACTCATCCTTTATTGGTTGAATTAATTTGGATTACCTAAATATGTCAGGCAGTGCCTGGATTGCTGTTGCTAACAGGGGTCAATCTTTTGATTGGTGGTTGTTTTGTCTCTTCTCTTTCAGGGACAGGGAGTCTCACTGCTGCAGTTGAAACAGCCTCCGGTCGCAAAGCAACAGTAATTGGAAAACCAAACACATACATGTTTGAATGCATTGTAGAGCGCTTTGGTGTAGATCCATCCCGCATGCTTATGGTGGGTGATCGGCTGGAAACGGATATACTGTTTGGCAAGAACTGTGGCCTTGATACTGTCTTGACCCTGACAGGTGTCTCTGATTTAGAGGAGGCACAGGCTTACATGGCCAGTGACAGCCCTTCAGCCAAGGACCTGGTGCCTCACTACTATGTGGACAGCATTGCAGACTTAATACCAGGCCTGGATGAATGAGGGGAGAAGTGGGTGGGAAACAGTCCTGTTTCCATTCCAGACTGCCAACCTTTCCTCCTCCTGTCTCCCCTCTTGAATCCGGGCTCATCACATTCCAGTGTTTCTTCAAGAATGAAGAGAGTGGGACTAATTCCCCTCTCATTCTTTAAGATTACTCGGTTTTATTTTAGACACAGTAGGGGAGCAGGAAATCTAATGTGAAAAAAAAAGGTGGTTTACAGGCCAAACTAGTATTTATTACTGTTTTTCATCACAGTAACTAAGTTATTTTAATTTTATTGTAGCCAATAGTGGTCGTCTTACTGTTGGCCTTTGCTTTACTTTGAAGCATAATGATGTACTTGATGTGCTTTTGTAGTGTTCGTCTCCAGGCTTAAATATAACCACTACCATTCCACGCCTGTTTTGAAGTTCTTCTCCAAGAACCTATGCTGTGAAAAGGAAACATCAGGTACATATTCAGACAACATGACATTGAGCTTCCACAAAATAGTCCTTTGGGTTTATTCCTGTGGAAGTTTATGTAGTTGAAGTTCATTCAAACAATTTAGCTGATCCAGGAGTTGTAAGAACTAAGACCATTTTTAAAATTGAAGCTAAATAGAGGAGCCATTCTAACAGAATCAAATAAATTCCTCCATAGGATTTGTTCCAAAGTGCTTTGTTTTGTGCAGGAAAGAAAATGACAGCTGTCAAAAGGAACTCAATATCCAGAGTATATATTAATGAATTAAAATGTTAATATCCTTTTTCTGTCTTGAGTCTTATCAGCTTAAATGTTTCTTTATCCAATTTCATTTTGGTATATGGAATTGCTACTGCTGCATCAAACTAAGTTGCATACAATAATTTTGGTGCCACAGTGTTCAAAACTGATGCACTTTATCTTGGTAATTCTTCTGTAGTCACAGCCTCCAGATATTCTTGCCTAAGCAAAATCAAGAACTCGATGATTTTATTCCTTTTTTCCCCCTAACTGGGCAAACTGATAAATTTCATCAGTAAACATTTTAGCTCCTGTCTGTGCCTGATACAATACACCACTGTTCTAGAGGAGGGATGAATACGTGTTCTCCTCCTGCTCTGCCATGGTGTGCTTGACCTGCGGGATAATGTTGGCATTGCCAGTGGTGTCTGTACCACTGTATTCCCAAATCAGTCCTTGCTGTTCTTTTAATGGTTTATTATGTATTTATTAATGTGTTTGTATAAATTATGCTGATCAATTGTGCCAAAGTGGTATGTTGCCTCTGGGCCTACTCACTAACTGTACCTCCATGATGTTGTGCTTTTTCTGACACTTGCTGTCATTCTGCATATAATAAATTGCAGACACCAGATGGGATTTGATTGTATTTATTTAACTACTTTGTGAGATTGCTCAGGGATCACTTCTAAGTCCATAATTTCTTTAATTAGGAATGTGCAGAAATCATTGATAGGGGAACAGAATGTTCCAGAGAACTCCAGAATGCTCAATTTCTCTTACAATTGTGTTGAACCTTCTTCTGGACCATGTCTTTCTGAGATGATCTGTCAGTTTTCAGAAGTAAATCTTCCAAGCCAGAAGAGGTTTGGTGTATTTTAAGAATGATCTTTTATTATAGTCATTGACAAACAAACATAAAATGATACATTCAAAGTGATCCATTGATTCATAATAGCTTCACCATTTTTTTTAAAATGGAGAAAGGACAACTTGGAGATGAGTATTTTTAAAGTGTTCCCCCAAATGTTAATGCTTTAAAAAACTGTTAAGTAAACACTAAAAAATAGTATTTTAATACTTTTGGTTCTGTTCCTGCTCAAACCTTCTCATGCTTTGTAAAAAGCTTTTCCTCGGGAAGAAAATTGGCATAATTCACAAACAGAACACTCTTAACATTCTTAGGAATGTTCTTTTTATGGATTGACAGATATTACCAGAATATATTGTTTTCATTGTAGGCACACAAATCCTGTTGGATAGAGTACAGGGCAAGGGAAATGAGACTGGATTAATAGTCCTCACACAAGCCCAGGATGATTTTTGTTATGTTATTAATAGCCTTTACTGTCTTTTTTTTTAAAGAAAAAATCAGCCTGCTGACATCATTGAGACTAAATATAGGTCAACAATGCTACAATATTTATTATGTTCCATTCATAAAGTTTAATGTCTAATAAATAATGTGAATTAAACAGAACTGTAATGATCATACTGAGAAGCCATTAAATGTCCTTGCACTTAAAAAGAAAGAAAAAACATGATGCTACAAACCTTTGGACCAAGGTACCTGTTTATTCATTTTGTGTAAAAAATGGTTTGACTAATCAATCTGCTGCAGATAGATCCTGCAAAACTTGTTAGAATTTTCAAAGCTGGGTCAAAGAAAGAGATAAAATTTTATACCCATGAGAGCAGGCCAGAATTAAGGACTGCAAATGCATACAAAGATTAAGAGTAAAAGAAAACTTTCCCACAAGCATAACTTAAAACTCAGTTAAGTACTCTTGGGACTGGAGGCACATTAATAATCTGGTGAGCAGACATGGTGGTCATGGCAAGCTTCCAAACATCCATTTATCAGGGTCAAAAGCAGTATGTTTGCTCCACTGTTGGATGTCCTCTATCCAACCCTTTCGCTTACTGTTATCTTTTATGATCACTCACTTTCAAATAAAGGACTCACCCTTCTTCATTCTTTCAAAGTGTCTGGACCTATCTGAATTCCAGAAGTATCCTTAGAAACAAAGGCAATACAAGTTGTTGGCACTTTGAAGTATGCTCATTTCCAATTTTATTTTTTTAAGTCAAAAAATATTTTCAAAGTTCATAGAGCAGAAATTGGCCAGAAGGCCTTCCTCTGATTTAGGCATATTTTTTAATGGGGATGCTCTTGGTACAATAGTTTCTTATGAGTTGTACTATTAGCATGCTATAAAGCAGGAGTCCCCAACCACCAGTCTGTGAACTGGCATCAGTCTGTGACATGCCAGAAACTGGGCCACACAAACAAGTGAAGCCCCATCTGCTGGATGCAGGCAACACATGAAACCATACACCCCTCCAGTCCACAGAAAAAGCCTCTCTAAGGAACCAGTCCCTGGTGCCCAAAAAGTTGGGGCTGCTGGTATTTTGCAGCTTCTCTTTCCAAATTGCTGTGAATTTTACAGTGTGGGATGTCCTCCACTGGGGTGAATAGCCCAACCAGGAGGCAATTAGCAAGTTTCTAATGCTTTTATTAATTTGATCATAAGTCACTTAATGATTCATGCTATAATTACAGGATGTAAATTATGCAAAGAAAATTAAGAAAAAATACATAGAGAATGTATATCTTGCCTCCTGATTCATAGCTATATTAATACAGCAAAAAGACCATATCCAATCCATGGAACATAAAGATCAATTTGAGGAGTAAAGAATCAGGAGAGACCAAGAATGAGACCAGAGGAACACAGGCTCATAATGAAAAATAGTTTTCAATAAAGGGAAGGCATCCTGGGAATGCTCTTAAATAGCAGGAATTCAGGACCTTCCTAATCAGAAGAACAGATGCTCTCTCCTCTCAAGGAGACATGCCACTCCTTGGCCTTCCTTTGTTGACCTTGTGTTTTAAGATTGCGTACCCTCCTGGATTCTGGATTTGACCCTTTGTTCTGTGAGCCGGTGATCACCTACACTGAGTCTGAATTGTTTATTTGCCTCCCATCTACAGGTTCCCCTCTTCAGCTTTAGAACTAGGCAAGTCCATAACAATGACTAAATGGGAATGCTCCATTATCCTGCTTGAGTAGGATCTCACTCAGAATTTTATTACATAGAATATTGGTCTTATATCTCAAGATTAAAAATTGAAGCAGCATTCTAAGATTAAAGGCTTAAATCTATTATTTCAAGAGTAAGAAAGAAAACACCCGATTACAGATTTGGAAAAGGTCATCAAGCCAACCTGGTGATTAATTCCAAGAATTCAAGCAAACAAGTATTTTTATTTTAATAGAGCAAAGTAGAAAATACCATTTTTAACATTTAAATATATTCCTAGCATAAAATTATTCATTGGGCTTTCTAGTAAATGTGATGTAACTATTTCCTCTCTGTTATATTTTAGGGTATCCCAAAACAAAGCAGGATAGGAAAAATATAATAACAAAAAGTAATTCTTTCATTTCATACTCTATACCCATTTCTTAGAATAATAAAGGAAGTAATTATCAGGGTACAATTTTGTTTTATTTGCCTTTCCAGTGATCTGTAGGCTGGAAGCATTTTGATACTTGGGTCTCCAAATAGTATTCAAAAGAAGAAAGTAAATGCCAAGTAAAATAAATAATAGTAAAATTAACTACAGCAAAAATAGGCTTAGATCAGGCTTGTCCAACCCGCGGCCCATCGGCCGCATGCGGCCCAGGTTGCCTCGTAATGCGGCCCAGTGCCCACCCCAACCTTCGTGCCAGAGCCAGCAAGGTGGAGGAGGAGAGGCAGACGCGAGGCGGGGCGAGGCGAGCGCCAGGCCAAGCAGCAAGAGAAAAGGCGGGCGCCGTCAGAGCGCCACCTCCTGCTGTTGCCGCCGCCCCCGCCGCCACTTCTTCCCCTGCCCCCGCCGCTTCTGCCCCCACCGTCGCTGCCGCTTCTGCCACCGCCGCCACTGCCGCTTCTGCCCCTGCCCCTGCTGCTGACCCCGCCGCCGCTTCTGCCCCCGCCGCCACTGCTGCTGCTTCTGCCCCTGCCACCACCGCTTCTGCCCCCGCCGCCGCTTCTGCCCCCACCACCACTTCTGCCCCCGCTGCTGCTTCTGCCCCCGCCGCCGCTTCTTCCCCCGCCACCGCTGCTGCTTCTGCTCCCGCCGCCGCTTCTTCCCCCACCACCGCTGCTGCTTCTGCCCCCACCGCCGCGGTGGGGGCAGAAGCGGCGGCGGGGGCAGAAGCGGCAGAAGCAGCCACGGTGGTGGGGGAAGAAGCGGCGGCGGGAGCAGAAGCAGCGGTGGGGGCAGCGGCGGTGGGGGCAGAAGCAGCAGCGGCGGCGGGGGCAGAAGCAGCAGCGGTGGTAGGGGAAGGCTTCTGCTCCCTTCGCTGCTGCTGCTTCTGCCTTCCAGTCCTGCCTCATCCAGCCGGGCCATTTGCAGGAGAGGTAGGCGCGAGGCGGGGGAGCTTTCTCTCCTCCCCCCCCCTCAAAATTTGGCCGGAAAATAAACCGTGATAAAAAAACTGTGATTAAAAAAAAGTGATAAAAAATAAATAATTTTTAATAAATAATAAATAATAAAAACATCTCACTGACTTCATTTCCAAATAAATTTAATATGTTAACTATGTTTTCTATGGTTTTTTTGGATGATCAGGTATCGTTACTGTTATTTTATTTTATGTGCGGCCCAAACCAAATTTTCATCTTCTAATGTGGCCCAGGGAAGGTGAAAAGTTGGACACCCCTGGCTTAGATAAAAGTATAAATTACAAACAAAACAAGAAACAAAGAGAATCCAAACTTCTGATTCATTAGGAATATAAATTGTTTTAAATCCTTGATTATACATTATTCACTCTTTCCATGTAGATGTTAACTTGCAGTCTTTTCCATAATCAAGGCATGGTTTTTGAGTAGCTCCATATGCTGTAATCTTTGAGTAATAGTGGTGTTAGTGATGGGGATAGTAGCTTTAATTGTGGAATAGTAAATAACATGAATTTATTTTCCAGGATCCTTTCGTTTCAAATTTCTGTTTCAAACTAACTCACAGACAAAGCAATTTCATTTACTCACTCTCTCCCCACAAATCTGAGGAAGAGTGTTTATTTCTCTGTTGTTATTTCTCAGGCTGATTCTTTATGGAACATAATATTTTGCCCTTTCAAAACAGAATCTAGCAATTTCAAATTCCTTACTGTTAGTTATGCTTTCTTTGTTTGTTTTATCCCTTGAAGCATCTTACCAGAACCAAGCTTTTTCACAATACTGTCTAGTTTAAAAATGTGACATTCCTTTTCCCTTTAAAAAAATAATTTCAATAATATAAAATAAGAAATCTGTGAACTGTACAATTTTTTTGAATAAATCATGAAATTAACAGGTGTCGCTCATGTCAGCAGTTTGGCCCTATGCAGTAGATGGGCAGCAGAATTATTGTCCACATCTTTTCACTATAAAGCTAGATTTTCAAAAAATGAAGAGAAGTAACATTAGTTCAGGAGTAAACCTATCCACTGAAAAGCTGTGATTAAGATGCAAACTCCAGATAATGGATCTCAAATTTAAAAAGTTCTGCCAACTGAATATACAGTAAATCATTGGGTCAGGCATATGCTTGTCCAAAAGTCTACCAAATGCTCTTGTTTATATCCTGTTCTTGTGC